AATATTTCTGTGTTAGAGGATCTTGAAATTAGTACATGATTACTTATAGGGAAGGATTTTGACCTTTTCATATCTGTTGTTTGTATAGTACCTCTGAACTTGGGCGTCTCAGCAACAAATATTGCGTATAATTTATTCTAGGCTTTTGCTACAAAATAAATGAGCAGTGCACACAAGCCTTCTCAGATCCATATTCAACTGGGAGCTGTCTGGCTACTTGTGATTTGACATCTGTCATCTACATAGGAAGTTCAAATGAACAAGCCAATCTTCGGAACTGTGATATTCCCAGGAGCAATGTTCCTAAACCAATGGATAGATTATACTTATCAATATATGTACTTTTATTATTTATATAGAAAGGTGGCATACTCCAGTATAATATTTTATAGTGTGTGAACTAGTTGGAAGACCTCCTGGATTTTAGATGGGTTTCTGTTTCAAGAACTATGTTAAGAATTAGTGTCAAGGTAGGTGAGGTAATGTCTTTTATTGGCCCAATGTCAGTGGAAGAGAAGAGTTTGAGCTTCACAGAGATCTTCTTCAGGTCTGGGGAAAAACGGAGTTACCAAGCTAAATACAGGTTGGGACAGACTGTTAAACTTAAGAGGTTCACACACCCTGTAGGAGACCACTTAACATGAAGTGGGAAATAAAGAGTTATCAGGGCAGTAGGGTGTGTTATAATTGTTGTAATGAGCCATAAAACCAGTGTCTCTGTTTAGTCCATGTTTTGTAGTTTCTAGCAGAGTTATGAATTTAAGTTCTCAAGCTTGTTCTCTGAAGGTGTTGTGCAGGCTCTCTTTGAGGACAAGTACCAAGAGTTGAGATATGGAGTGACCACTTTGTGAAATGTTTTTCACAAAGATTTTAACTATCTGTCCCAACTTGTATTCAGCTCAGACACTTTGGTACCTTCCCCAGACCTGAAGCAGAGCTCTGTGATGCTCAAAATCTTGTCCCTTCCACCAACACAAGTTGGTCCAATAAAGGTTATTACCTCATCAACCTTGTCTCTCATATGCTGTGACCAACATGGTTACAACAATACTGCAAAAGACTTAGTGTCTCCATTCTAGGCTGTGAGAGCTAATATTCATAGATTTCTATGCAAGACAGACTTCTGTGGTCTGAGATCTAAGAAGAGACACTATCTAGACTCGTCACCAGCTGCACTAATTTGGCATACCAGTGCTGTTTTGCTCTCTCTGGATTCATTATTAGTCATGCTCTGTTCTTTCTTATCTTGTGTAATTCTCTGTATGCCATGGATAATGTGAAAACTCATTGGAAAGGAATTGAACCATTGTGTGGAGATCTTGCTTCAAAACACTGGAACCTGATTGTTCCCCAGAGAGAAAAACAGGAGAACATCCAGCCAACCTCATTTCTTTGCTACCTCTCTGAAAGCTCCTAGATTTGGGGCCAAATTTACTCGTCACATAAGCTGGCATAATTAGTCCATTTGATCTGTTCTCCTGTTGTAGCCTCTTTCTGGTCACAGCTTTGGGATTTTTTTTTTTTTTTTTTTTTTTGCTAACTGTGGTGTCTTTGAAGATTGTTTTTACTGTGCATTTTAGTAACAGGACAGCCTCTGACTATAGCAGTCCTTACTGGTCTGCATTCTTCCTGTTTTTTCATTAATGGCAAAATGTCCATTGATTTAAATGGGGACAGGATTTCAGCCCATGGTTATAACTTCTAAATTGTCTGATCAGTTGAAAATGTCCTGGAGTAAGGAATCCAGTATCTGACAGTTTTTAAAGCTGCCCTTATCTCTACAGTGTTTATATGTAGTCTTGTCTTGGACCTGGATAATATTCCTCAAATGATTCTTAATCCTAAATTAGCTCCACACCAGTATCACATTGTCACTAGGAACCAACCTGGTTCCAGTAAATTCACTTCAGCGCAATTGTCCTGAATGCAAAAATGAAAACCTGCTTAACTTCCTGTGGAACTACAATCTGTTATTCCAGAATCTGTGCAAGTTGAGCACCCACATCTGAGTAGAATCTACAGAAGTATGATATACGGAAGTGCAGCTGAAACCAAGGAATTGTCTCAAGGAAGGATAATAGAAGATGTAAGACTTTTGGTGTTTCTCTCAGAATCCACAAGGCAAAAATCTATGTCTGGTCTATGAAATCCATGATTTTCCAATTCTCTCCACAGCTAGAAACTCTCTGTTGCTCTATCAAACTTTGTGGTAAGATGGGCTGCTGTGTTGAGCTGGAATTAGAGAACTCTTAGTGTGATTAATACCAGACATACAGAAAAGAGACCTGTCTATTGCTCTGCTGGCTAACTGGGTAGAGGGAACACCCAAGAGACTTTCCTTTTATCTTCAAAGTTGCTTCAAACCATTACTAATGACTTATAAAAACTGAAGATGCTGGAGTTAAGACAAAAGAAGGGACACAGAATTTCAGATTTCCCAAAAGATAAAGAAAGATTATTGCTGATATTGCTTAGCTGTTAGAGCAACTTCAGGGAAAGCTGCAAATTTCCCTTCTATTATAGCTTGAGATTGTTTTATTCCATCTGGAAGTAGTAGTGATTAATAAACTACATTTGTTTAGCCACTTCAGATTTCGTGTTGTGCTTCTGAGGAGAACAACAGCGCAGGGAGTCCATTCCATGAACCTCTCCAGCTTGGAAACAGTTGTGACATCTGTAAATTGAAGGCAGGATATGCTAGTTCGGGAAATGTCTATCTTTTGGAATTGTTCAATAAGAGTGAATGTATTACATGAGCACTGGAAGGAGAGAGAGACTAATTGATTGTATAATCCCTGCTTGCCACTGCTACTATTCATAGGTCCATTATCGTGGTCTGTGTGCATCATCCTTCCTGATGACTGATCACAGTTAGAAACATACTCTGTTCATTGCTGAGAGCCTGAATGAAAAGAATGATGGAAGATAAACATACTCCTGGAACTGCAGAAACTAGGGGAATGTCACCTGTAGGATGACTGTTCATGAAAGAAAAGATTTATGATCACAATAGTGGATACAGGGACAAAAAGGCACCAGAATTCAAAGAAAGTCTTTTGGAGAATGCTGTTTCTCATTTAGTGAGGAAACTCACCTCCTTCCTTTCTGAAGTGGTGAGCTGAAGCGTACAGGCGTTGTTTTGCTGTGTTGTGAGGTTTTTGCTTATATCAGTAGTGGGATATGAGAAATGGGGCAACCAATATTTCCTTATTTCTCATATCCTACTTCTGATTCTAGATTTTAAAGCCAGAAGGGACCACTATGACCATCTTGTCTGATCTCCTTTATAACACAGCCTAAAAAATTTCATCAAGTGGCTCCTACATCAAGCCAATAACTTATATTTGAGCTACAGCATATCTTTTAGAAAGACATCCATGATTTTTCCAAGTGAAATACACATACTGTAACTCAACAGGATTATGTATTTCCTGGTCACATCATACTTCTTTTTATACATATTACAGTAAGTAAAAGTCATAATTACTGTGCTATTCCATGCTATGTAAAGAAATTACTAGGCAATCAGAATGAGCTATATGGTAGGAGAAAACTGAACAATACACCTAGGCGTAGGCATGTGTTAAACCATTAAGTGTATCCTATAGATATCTTACTCGTAGCAATACTTTGTGCAGATATACACATCCACTTCTCTGAATTATTCACCATTTTCAAAAAGAGCAGAATTGGGTCCTTCTCATGCATAAAATTACACACTCTTATTTTTTGAAGTCTTGCTATTCAAAGCTGTGGTTTGTTCAGAACATTTTATTATATTCACTTCATAGATGTTAATATAACTGCTATTCAACTTTCAGCATTGTTTTGTACATCAATGAATATCCCCCCACGACTCTCCTCCACTTTTATATATCAAGGTGAGTTTGATTTAAAATGTCTTTTTCCTTGGACTATAATGGTAACTTGATTCTATTAGCTCTCTTTTTAAAAGAAGAGTCTATGGTTAAAATAATTGTTTGCAACTCCACTGCTGTATTACTTATATGACCATTATTATATTAATAATGTGTACTAGCAATATTATGGTTTGACACAGAAAAGAATTATTTCTTTATTTTAAAAGACAGTAGCATAACAATTAGAAAAACTATCCTTCAGAGCACAGATCCCACCCCAAAAACAACCAAACCACAATAGTTCCTCCCCTCAGCCAATCCTAAAACCCTAACTACACCTACCTTTCTGTTGTTTGGGGAGTTCTTTACTCCAGGACCAACAGTTACCAACTGAAATAGGGCCCAGTTCTTGTCCTAGCAAAGTGAATTACAGAACTCTTCTTGACTTCAAAGGGCACAGCATTAGGCCCATAGAAACTATGTTCAAAGCATAACTTCATCAATGTAGAATGCCAACCCCACCTAAAAACCAATTTTAAAAAAGCCAAACAATTGTAGTCCTGCTCACCAAACACTCACTGTTGGACAACACTGAACATACGATAAAAAACTAAACAAAAGTAAAATGTATTATTATTAGCGTCTTATTAGAAATTTGTAAGCAGGGACAGGTTTCAGAGTAACAGCCGTGTTAGTCTGTATTCGCAAAAAGAAAAGGAGTACTTGTGGCACCTTAGAGACTAACCAATTTATTTGAGCATGAGCTTTCGTGAGCTATAGTTCACTTCATCAGATGAAGTGAGCTGTAGCTCACGAAAGCTCATGCTCAAATAAATTGGTTAGTCTCTAAGGTGCCACAAGTACTCCTTTTCTTTAAGCAGGGACAAACTATCATAACCTACCTCTGGCTCTATTTATCTTTGACACTTATGAGTTATGAAAAGTTGTATCTAAATCATGAAATACTGCCATAACAGATTACATGATGTAATGTATTCCCTCGTGTGATGGTGTATGCACCACATGATGGCCTGGCAACCAAGGAGTTAATGCAGCAACAACCTGTCATCGCTGACTGGCAGCCTCACTGCAGCTGGGAGAATAAAAGAGCTGAGAAGCAGAGGGGTGGGGCAGCTGCCAGAGAAGCAATCAGGCTAGAGAAGAAAAATCCTTTCAGCAAACTGGTGAAAAGCTGCCCAGAGACAACACCCCAGAGAAGGAATGACTGGATCTACAGGCTGGAGAAGCCTTCAGAACCAATGGAGGTAGGAGGGAGCTCAGGTACAGCAGAATGAGTTGTAGAGAACTGATTCTGCCTGCCTGGTTTAAGGGCCCTGAGCTGAAACTCAGTGGAGTGGGGGCCGGGATTCCCCTACTGATCCCTTAACAGAGTCCTAAGAAAGAAAGGTGTCTCCAGACCCCCTGAGGATCAGGACTACCGAATCCCGCTAAGTATAAAGGGAAACCCAGACACCTCAGAAGGACTGAAACTAACCCAGAATAGGACTACCATAGAGACTCAGGCAAGAGCAGGTCACTGACTGCCCCACTAGACTGAGCAGATTCTGTGCAATGCCCAAAGGGGGATGCTGACATATTAGCACACCCAGCTCACATCTAGGTACACCAGAATAATGGGTAACAATTCCACTTGAATTACAGCTATAAAACAGATTCCAGTAAAACCTAGTTTTCATATTCCCATAACTTTCTCAAAGACTTGCCATTTGGTTTGAAATGTTCCACATTCGGTTTCCATCTGTGGGAGATATTTTTTAATATTTGAACAAAATCTCTTCAACTGTTTTATAGTTATGGGAGAATGAAAAAGTACATCGTTTCTATTGGTATCAAATTCTAACTATCTTTTTAGACAGTTACAACAAAAAGGCTGAAGATGAACTTTAAAACTTGGATTAGACACAATGTTCACTGAAGACTAGTGCTTTACTTGACTTGAGGTATAAAAATGTAAAACAATTGTAAGTTAAAAAATACACTTAGTATGCTTACTGGACAGACTAAGATTTTAGTAGCACTCAGAGTCTTTGCCTTTTGTACAGCCTCATGGTACAGTCTATCTGCCAAGCTGTGGGTTCAGGGTCTGCTTCTTCCGACCCGCTCCTGGGGCAGTTTGCATGAGGAAGAGATTAAGTAACTCATGAAGACAAAGAAAAAATCTCTTCCAAAATAATGACTTAAAACCAATGACATGGGAAAACCATGAGTTCAAAAAATAAAACCCTGTATCTTGCAATGTTACCTATCTTCCCAGGCTTCCATATGGTCATCATGATACCAAAATATATAATTATTTCCCCAAACTATTGTGTGTACACATATATATGTTCATCAGTCTCTCCTCCTCTTCCATTCTGAAGTAATGTGTGTGTGTTATTGAGGGAAGGATAGATTGAAGAAGTGTATTTTTCCTTTCGCTCTTGAAGGTCAGAATTATCCTGATTTCTTTTGGGAGGGAATTCCAAATTTGCTCTCCACTTGCTGAGAGAGCTCCACTCCCTGCACCCATAAGATTCACTGTTGACATTGACTGTTCTGTGGATCACTGCTGTCATGGAGATCATTTGGGGGGAGATGTTACCTTTAGTAACCTGTGCCAGTTTCAAGCAGGGCTTTACGATAAGGACCAAGTGGTGCCAGAAGCTGAAGGGACTCACTAAATCGTCCATTTCATAGTGATTTGATGGAGTTACCTGCAAGGACTGCTTAGAGTTTTGAGGGCGATAACCTTCTGGAGTTGAGGGGAAGGGACATTCTGGTTACTCTTCTTGCTTGGAAACAGAAAAGGTTGAGTGTATCCTGTGTAGATCCTGAGATTCTCTGCAAGAAACTGAAGAGGGAATATGTGGAGAGGAGGACTTGGACCATTGAATCAGAGGTCTTGTCAACATGGAAGCTGGAATATCACAGGACAATGAGTCTTGGAAACTTCATTGCCATGCCAGAGAACATCCCCATCAGCTTCAAGGGGAAACTTACTTTTTGGTGGTCTGGACATGAGCAGATTGTCTGTGTTGCATGGTATCTGGATTTATAGTAGCTCGATGTTCTCAATGTTTTTATCTCTAGGTAGCCTCACTTGCATTCAAGCCTGGACTGGAATAGGATGGCTATTTCCCTTCAGATTTGCCTTGTATGTATCTATGTCTGCAGTAACGAGTAGCTTGCAGGAATTAAGTGAGCTAGCACTGGGCCTGCAGGATCATTAAGCTAGATTTCTGTGAAACAGACAAAGCCAGTGGCTTCTTCTGTAATGAGGTTGTGGATGATGACGTGCTTCTTGACCACTGCGTTGATCAGCAGGAGCTGGAGGCCCTAGTGTTTGTATTTGCTTATGCAAAGAGGCTGTTTTAAGATTAGATTTCATTTTCTGCAATTGTCCAGATTATTGGCTTCTTAGGGGGTGGTTTGTATGTCCTGTAGGTTTTTCTTCTAGATAAGAATTGAACTGGAACTTCTAGGATCTCACTGCAGTTTTTTTCTTCATTCTATAACTTCAAATTCTAAATTTACCTTTAAAGGAATAAATTTTCTGGCTTTTTCTCTTGTGAACGTACAGGCACCACAGTATAAACATATGTTATTTCCTGTTGCCATATCAGTTATTCTAATATGTGCTTCCAAATATGTTTGCTCTAGCCATGTAATGACAATTTTGTCAAGTCAGTGGCGAAGATTGTTTCTCACCTGAGAGATTTGAAGGCAATCTAGCTTCAGATTATACACATTTCATAAATAATCCATGTCATTTTTGTATTAATTCTCCTGATAGACAAATCTAATAAACTTTAATGGTCCTCATCGTAGTATTAAATTGGTCTCAGTCCTCAGTGATGCTGAGTTCATAACCTGTTTTCTCATTAGATTGGGACAGATTTCTGGCTCCTCTGTCTCATCTGTTATTAGAAAAATCTCTTCCTCATGTACAACAGAGATGAAGCTTGATTAAAATTTAGCTTTAAAATGCACCTAAGCAATCCCCCAGTAAATATTAAGCTATCAAAATATGTCTGTGCATACTGTATTAAGGTTAATAAAAATATTTGTAAAATAAGTGTGGGCAGGTTAACAATTTCATTTTTCCAAAAGACTCCAGGTTTAATGGCATATACATTTTTAGATCTAATTATGGTTTTAGTTGTAATTTTTTTCTAGCCTACCAAAACCATCATTTTAAGTATCCCAATTATTTGTAATAGCTATTATAGTCCTTAAGTACCTTTCCTTCATAAGTACATAGCATGTTCAATCTTTCTACTTCTTTATTCAGTTAATTTAATTGAGTGGCAGTCTCATATAATCTAGCGTCAAAAGTGCTATCTTACTTTATTATATTTGGCCCCACTGATAAAATGAAGTCATTTTCTTTACTCTGTATTTGACACCAGACCAATTATTGTATTTTAAACTGCAAGGAGAACTGGTGATAGTTGTACAATTTAACATCCTTTTGTTATATCATCACCTAAAAAAGACCTCTATTGTACAAAATTTCTCTCCCTAATTCAGTACAAGTACTCTAAAACTCTTTAGTCCACCTCATCAAACAATGAGATGGTTGGAAACATTGTAATGTTAACTACTGTACAAAATGAAGGAGGAGATCACATCCGTTTTAAAGTGAATGGAAAAGAAGTATTAAAGATTCATGAAATGCAAGCTCCTTCTCCACCTTTCTAGTTTACTGGTTTACTGAAGACAGCCAGTTAGCATACATAGCTTCTCCTCACTCTGACAAATGTTTTGATAGCAAGATAACCTGGTCTTCTCTCTCAATAAATACACTGGCACTTCAGTGGTGATTGAAAATGCTGTAATAACTGCCTTGCATTGGATTCAGTGTACACTGCTTTATACTTTCCAGCTTGAAGGTCACTAAATGAAAAATAATTCACTCTCTTTAAAAGTCAAACTCCCAAATTAGTTTCAAAATTACCCTTAAAGTAGCTATGTATCGAAATTCAAGAAGCCAACACGTTCTTTACAAGCACGCAAGGAGTCCTCTCCCCACACTACAGCTGCATAACACATAATCAACAGTGAGAATTACATGCAGGCCTGGAGGGAAAAATGGACCCCTAGAAATGGATTTCACAGCAATTACAGTATTGCAAGCAATTAAGCAAATGGACAGTAAAATTTACTCAACACAATGGGCATGGTTGCCAGTTTTGGTTGAATGTATTCCTGGAGATGTCACCAGATGACATAATCTTTAATTAAAGATTAGTTTTTAATTCCTGGAGACTCCAGGCCAATTGTGGAGTGTTGGCAATCATAACAATGGGTGAAATCCTGGGCCCATTGAAGCTGATTATAGTTTTACCATTGACTTGAACTGGGGCAGGATTTTATTCAAGAGGCATTAAGTTTTCCAGCCTTGGAGCCTGCTCTAAAGTCCACTGGAGCCCGTCGAAAGATCCCTATTGAATTCAATGGACTCTGGATCTATAGAGCACATTCCTATAAGTGCTTCCTGTGCAGAGCTCTTGTTGAAGCCAAGGGGAGTTGGGCAAGTGGAGAGTTTGTAGCCTCTGGCCTTTAATAGAATCATACAAATGTAAGGCAGGAAGGGACTCTGAGAAGTCATCAGAAACAGTGCCCTGCACCGAGGCTGGACCAAGTAAACCTAGACCATCCCTGACAGGTGTTTGTCCAATCTGTTCTTAAAAGCTTCCAGTGATGGGGATTCCACAGCCTGCTTTGGAAGCCTATTCCAGATCTTAACTACCCTTATAGTTGGAAAGATTTTCTTAATATCTAATCTAAATCGCCTTTGCTCCAGATTAAGCCCATTACTATTTGTCCTACTTTCAGAGGACATGGAGAACGATTGATCATCCTCCTCTTTATATCTTATTAATATATTTGAAGAATTATCAGGTCTCTCCTCTGTCTTCTTTTCTCAAGGCCAAACATGCCCAGTTGTTTTTAACCTTCCTAATAGGTCAGGTTTCTAACCTTTTAGTTGCTTTCTTCTGGACTCTCTCCAATTTGTCCACTTCTTTCCTAAAGTGTGTCCTCCAGAATTGGACATAGTACTCCATCTGAGGCATCACCAGTGCAGAGTAGAGCGGGACAATCACCTCCCATGTCTTACATACAACACTCCTGTTAATATACCCCAGAATGATAATAGCCTTTTATGTAACTGCATCACATTACTGAGTCATTCAATTTTTGATCCATGATAACCCCCAGATTCTTTTCAGCAGTAGTGCCTCCTAGCCAGTTACTCCTCATTTTGTGCCTGTGGCATTTGATTTTTCCTTCCTAAGTGAAATATTTTGCACTTTTCTTTATTGAATTTCATCTTGTTGATTTCAGACCAATTCTCCAATTTGCCAAGGGTGTTTTGAATTCTTAATCCTGTTCTCCAGTGTGCTTGCAACCCCGCCCAGCTTGGTGTCATCCACAAATTTTATATCCGTACTCTCTACTCCATTATCCAAGTTATTAATGAAAATATTGAGTAGTATCAGACCCAGGAATGATGTCTGCAGGACCTGACCAGATACATCCTCCCAATTTGATAACGAACCATTAACTCCTCTTTGAGTATGATCTTTCAATCAGTTGTGTACCCACTGTGACTTAACAGCATCCCAATGCAAGAAAGCCAAGGGTCACTGGTATCTGGATGAAGTGGGTATTCACCCATGACAGCTTATGCTCCAATACGTCTGTTAGTCTATAAGGTGCCACAGGACTCTTTGCCGCTTTTACAGATCCAGACTAACACGGTACCCCTCTGATACCTGGATTCTGGTAGTGAGTTTCAACTGGCCTGACCAGTTTTGGGTACCCCAACTCACTAACATCCTAACCTGTATCTAAAAGGTACTGTGTATGATATCACTAGAAAGCTAACATACAGATCATTAATACTGTTGTGCAGTGTATGTAGAGGACAAATTCAAAACTACAACATATTGGGAATTATGTTCTTAAAGTGTGGCTGCCATGCAGAGCTGAAGTTATTACACCCTAGACAAAGGAATGTGGTTCTGCTACCTGGAAGGTACTTCCATGGTACATGAAGAGACAATGAGCATACATTTACATAAAAGGAAAACAAAACCATCAAGCTAACAAGGGGGGGATATTGCAGGGCCAGATCAATTTGCATTTTAATAAGTACCAGTGGGAGAAGAACCCAGCATAAATCTTCCTTCACCAGGAGACTCCATGTCGCCTCCTCGCAGCTTGAATAAACTTTACCTTGGGGGGTAACATTCAAATGAATCCATTCCAAAGGTTCACTGGACTATTAAAGAGGGGCAAATAATCCCAAATTATCTTTCACTGCAGAAGAGAAAGGAACCAAGCGCTTTGGACTTCATGGGAGATCCTGACACAAGGGGAGGTCAGCCATCTTGCTGGAAGGTACTTTGAAAAAAAGGCTGTAGTTTGCTGTGTGAAATCTTAGCCACTAGAAAGGGTTTTCACTATTATTTGATTGTAAGCATTTCTAACTCTATCCTTCATACCTGAGCTCACATAAAATCCTACCTCCTTTTGTTAATAAACTTGTTTTACTTTTAAAAAAATCAACCCAGTGCTGTGTTTGAATTAAAATGTTAGTTAACTTCACTTAGTGTTAAACTGTGCAGTTTGTCTCTTTAGAGGGATAAACAAACCTTAGTATTGTTCTGAATAGTCCAAGAGAGGGTTGGACATTCCAGAGCACATGGTTTGGGGGAAAATTTGGAACTGGGGAAGTTGGGTTATCTTGCCAGGTGTAACAAAGGCTGGTGGAGGCCAGAGTGTCTATATGGAGTAATAAGCATGCTGCTGGAGTCAGCACTGCTGGTCGACAGCCACTCAGTGCATGCTGGCTGGGAGGATCCAGACATAGGAGTTACAGCAGTAAAGCATTTTAAGGCACCCTGGGTTACTGGGCAGGTGATGACACAACCCCTCACTGGTCTGGATTGCACCCTAGAATGTGACACCCATTTTATAGTAATTTCATCTAGACCACATTTCTCTAGTTTACTTATGAGAATGTCATGTGGGACTGCATCAAAAGCCTTACTAAAATAAAGATAGCACGTCTGCTGCTTCCCCCTCTACTGCTTCCCATCATGAACTACATCAGTAACCCTGTCAAAGAAGGAAATTAGGGTGGTTTGGCATTATTTGTTTTTGACAAATCCATGCTGGCTATACCTTTTAACTGTATTACCCTCTCACAAACTGTTCAATATTTGTTCAAGTATCTTTCCAGGTATCAAAGTTAGGCGGACTGGGTCCTTGTCATTCCCCTTTTTAAAAGGTAGGTACTATGTTTGTCCTTCTCCAGTTTTTTGGAACTTCACCATCCTCTATCAGTTCTCAAAGATAACTGCTCATGGTTCCAAGATTGCTTTGGCTAATTCTTTAAGTACCGTACAATGAATTTCATCAGGCTCTACTAACTTAAATATACCTAACATCTAAATATTCTTTAATCTTTAATTCTTTAATATTTCCCTATTTTGGCTTGCTATCTTTCTGTGTTGTTAATACAGTATTAATGGTGTTGAGTATCTGGTCACCATTAACCTTTTCACAGAAAACTGAAGCAAAACAGTCATTAAAGACCTCAGAATTTTTGATGTCATCTATTATTAGCTCTTTTCCCCCCACTAAATAAAGGATCTACATGGCCCTTCATCTTTCTCTTGCTCCTATGTATCTAAAGAACCTATTATGACCTTTTATGTCCTTTGTTAGGTGTAACTCATTTTGTATCTTAGCCTTTCTGATTTTGCTCCTTCATGCTTGTGCTATTCTTTTGTACTCCTTAGCAATTCGTTCATGTTTCCAAGGAGAGACTGGTTTAAATGTCACTCTCAATATACAGATGATTCCCTCTTAGACCTTAGTAGCACTTTATGGAGGATGGAAATTCTATTTCGCAAAAGATTAAGATTTTGAAATTTTGCTTTGTTTCAAATTGGAATGAAACCGAAAATTTCAAAATTCTCTAGGAGGGAAAATTCTGGAAAAAAATAAATTTCAGGTTGATTGAGCCTTTTTCCAATTTTGACTCCCTGGCACCAGTTTTGTATTACATTATAGTATGTAATACAAAAAAATTGAAACACAATTGTTTCAAAACAAAAATTGAAACCTTTCATTACAAAAAATGTTGTGATGGGACATTTTGACAGTCTGAATTTCCCCCCTCCTTCCCTCAGTTTTCTTCCAAAACAAAATTCTGGGAAGAGCAACCCAATTTTGCTCAGCATTTAGATTTCAACGGAACGGTATTCTCCAGTGGAAAATAGTTCTGTCAAAGTTTCTCTGACCAATCTAGAACTTCAGCTTTTACGCAGGAGTAACTGGGCTGCTGCACAGCAGCCATCTAATCATTGTAGGATTGGGCTCCCTTGTGTTCTCAGAACTACTCATGACTCTTCACCTATATGTGCAGCCATCTACACCTGCACCACACTGATCAAGATCAGTCTATTTTCTAGAGATTTTCTCAATCTGAGTTTGAATATCTCATGAAATGTGGTGACCACAGCATCCCCTAGAAGCTATTTCACAGTCTAACAGATCCCACTTTCAGGAAAATTTTCTTGATATTCATCTTAAATTCTCTTCCTTAATTCACCCCATTACAATGACCGCCATGCCAATCCTCTTCCCTCAGTACAAGCCACAATGTAGTTCGGTGTTTGCATCCCTCAGATATTTGTAGACATTTATATTGTCCACCTATAATTGTCACTTATCCAAAATATACATTTAATTATATTAATTTTAATCTCAAACCAATCCTTCCAGTCCTCCAGTGATTTTGTCACTCTTCCATGATTTTCCTCTAATTTGCCTACATCTTTCAGGTATGGAAGTCCTAGATGTACAGAGGGTATTCCAGATGTGATCCATGATATCATGCCTTTGCATAAGCAGCACAACATTGCATTAGCCTCTTTAGATGCATACTGTATTCTAAACAAATATTGAGGGTCTGATTTGCAACTATATTACTCCTGTTCTACACATGAGTAACTGAATTTGATGGCATTACACTGGTGTAAAACTGGAGTAACAGTGGTGAATTGGGCTCCTCATTTACAGTCTATTGTCACCCTCACAACTTCTATTCACATTATTACCCTCCTTTCACCCTCCTCTTGAATATATACCTGGACCAAAAACTCTTCCCTCAGATACTTATAGTCACTGATTTAACAGGGATTGGTGCATATGTATCTGTAGGTGGAATTTAAACCGTTTTGGATTATTTTCCCACAGATGTAATGAAGTAATATCTCAGCATAATATTTCTGCATGCAGAACCTCATTTTTCTCTGTATCAAGTGGAAAAAATATTCTTCCTGCACTTAAGGCCTGATCCAAAGCCCACTGACGTCAATGGGAGTCTTTCCATTAACGTCAATGGGTTTTGGATCACATCCTAAAATAGTCCTATAATAATGTTGCTGTGAGCTGTTAAATATCTGCTGCATTTGGTCCTTGAGGAAGCTGCATTTCAGTGATGGGATGAAATGATTCCTGTACATAATTTATGAATCAGATTGTTAATTTTTTTTTAAATATCTGGGAACTTTTTAAAAAAGGGTATAAAATGTAAGTTAATTACTATTGTCATATAATTTAATGCCATCATATGGCAGAATAACAGAGAAGAGATTTTTAAACCTTTAACGATAACTAATATTTGTGCTACAGACAATGAGCTGTGCAGTTCATAGGATGCAGATTAATTCTATTCATAGCCTCAACATGCACTTTTCGAACCATATATTTCCAAGTGTTTCTACTGCCAACATTAAACATTATAAAAACAGACTGTATAGAGCTATGAATGCCCTGTGAGTACAGGAGTACACCTGACAAACTAACACCTATTCCACACTTCACAACAGGAAAACAAACTTTAACCCTTACCAGGCTGAAAATGAATAAATGAGTCCCCGTGTTCTGGAGTGGGGCACTATAGATGACAGAGAAGTTTTTTCCATGCAACAGATTCACTGTGTATGTCTACACTGCAGGTAGGAATGAGCCTCCCAGCCTGGGTAGATAGACTCATGCTAGTGGGGCTCAAGCTAGCCTGTGCTAAAAGACAGTGAGGACATTGAGGCTCTGTTAGAGACTCAGACTACCCACCCAAACTCAAACCCATCTGACCCTCAAGGCTTGAACTCACAGAAAACATTGAAACCTACTGTATCTATACCATACCTGAAAGCCACTCCTGTTAGGAAAAAACAAAGCATTTTCCTCAAACAACCCTCCTGCTTCTTAATGAAGTAGTAATGCATGTTTTTTTTCCTCACAGAATTAGCTGCAACTAAAAAGTGACGAGAGAGAGAGTCCAGAGCGGAGAATAGAAGGTTTAAACCCCCTAAAAATACCCATTTAAACGAACTGATTGCATACTATGTTATTAATAAAAATACATTGAGTAAGGACTTTTATGAAAGCTTGTAATATTTTAAACTTATTCATTATGAGATATGTATACAGGCTATGGGGTGTGAATTAATGCATTTCTATATAGAAAACTGTGCTCATAAACTGTGGTGCAACTTCAGCTCCATCTCACAGGAGGGCGGTGAGCAGTCAAGGGCACCTCCCCAGCCAGTTGTTAACATGAAACTGGCTTCAACTTGTCCAGATCAGGAGAAGACAATAGTGGACAATTAGAATGAATGGAAAGACATTGAGACAACAGGCTCCCAGAATTTCAGGTAAAGCTTTCCAAGTCTCCTGGCATGGACCAAGGTTCAGTCACTGCCTGCCCTGTAACTTTGGGGGGGGAGGGGGCTTTGTGCTGTGCAGCTGAGACTCAGTTCCCTCACACAAGTAGCCAGCCCACAAGCACACGGTCTCACCCTGGCTCTCACCCTGTTACACTTTGCAGGGTGACACCAACAGCCCTCCCAGTCCCGGGTTTCCTCAAATCATCCTCCCTGAGTTCTTAATTATGAGACACTTGGACCATTTCCCTCTGGTTCGTGAACCCTGAAGATGGGACACCAGCCTCCCCAACCCCGCAGTTATCAGCTTACTTTGCCACACACACTCCACACAGTTTGCACACCAGATACCTGCTTGGGATAAAAATTAACAAAGTTTATTTAATAGAAAAACCACTGAGACAAAGATGAAATCGTAAGGGAAAGCAAACATACACAAGTTACACAGAAAAACAAACAGATGCAATCTAAGATTTTTCACTTTCATATTACATAAAATCCCCTTTTTAATGTGCTAGCTATTGCCTTAAACCAGCATACCCCCTAGCTATGAGTGGTTCAACATTCACTGACAGCCTCCCACTTCAAGACTGAACTCCAAAGTTCTGTTCAAATCTCTTCCATTTTAAAAGGGGTTTGTTAAGGAGTATTTTTCTTCAGTCACTACAGATATTCAAAGCAGGGAAAACTACCTCCTGACTTGATGGTTGAGAGCTGGGATGTTCTTTTCAATTTTGAGTTGTCTCAATGTCTATTAACCCTCACAGTTCACCTTTGTCTTTTCTTGGGCTGGACAATGGAGAGTCTACTTGAAGCCAGTTTGACGTTACCAGCTCATTTGGGAGCTGCCCTTCCCTGCTTGACTGTTCACTGCCCCACTCCAAGGAGCTGAAGTTGCATCGCAGTTTATGAGTGCAGGTAGCTTAGTGGCTAGGAATGCTATTACATTTCTAGGGGGTCATAAATGCACTAAATGTCTGAAACTTTGCAGAGAAAGAAGTGAATACAAGCCTTGTGGGTGTGTTTGTCAGGAAGGTAGGCAGTCCACAGGCACCCTTCCCCAGGAAAATAATTTGATAGGTAGACGGCACTTTGTGTAGTCTACTGCATTCTGAAGGCAAAATACCTGGCAGGACTACCAATGTGTCCTGTTCAATTCAGACAGTCACACTACTGATGAAGGACACCAAAATCTAACACCAGCGTCCCCTGCTGCAACACTGGCTAGTAACCTATATACAAAGAATGGGGGTTGTCAGCATTCCATTTCCTAGGGGGCATGTGTCCCTTTCCCAACTGGCATGACTTGGCATCTTTATTGACAGTCACTGAAGACAAGTGTCTCGCTAGAGAAGCCAAAAGATTTATGAATGAATACTGAGTTTCCCTTTTAACCTACAAGGTCATTCATTTAGCTTAGGACTGTGGCATGTTGATAGGGGTGGGGCAGTGTGAGGAAGCTTGCTCTGCAGCTTGCTGCCATGTACCTGTTCTGTCAAGAAATGAAGGACTTCTATTTGCAGAGTTGTGAAGCAGCTTGTTATCATAAGTAGTAAAGGATAATTTGTCTTGTAAAGACAATACATGGAACAAGCTTTTAAATCTCAAAAATAGAACCTAACAACAAGGACAGTCTTTATATTTTTGCCTTATAAAAATACACAGAATAGTCAGTTTTTCTTCAAAGTATTTTAAAGTATATTCACTTTGCTTCTGGTCAGAATAAAAATCAGAATCATGGGACTAGGAATTTGAGATTGTTTGAAATTTGCAAACACCATGCAATTCTGAATAATTTTCTTGTTAAAAACAATTCTTCAAATATATATTAAGTCATTCTTAAGAAATGGAAATGAAAAAACTGTACTGAAGACACTGGATTGTAATGTAATTTCATTTACGTTTACAAAGTAAATGCTTTTCTCTTTTCTAAGCTTAAATGTTATTAGCTCTGATTACAGACTTAGAGCAATTTTTGCTCTTTTTGTCCCTCAACTGGACTGTTTTTACAAAGAGGTTTAACAACAAAAGTTAATGTTTCCATCATGTGGAGCCTCATCTAACATAATTGTACAGAGTTCAAACGTTTTGAGATAGTTAAAATGTATATAGCATTGCTTAGCAATGCAAACTTGCTTGATCTGCTTGAGAGAAGCCTTAGACACAAGAGTGTTTTTGTTCAATGCTTTTAACAAAAACAAAAAAATCAGACGGATTTAGGTCACAGAAGAAAGCATACTAACAGGCTGTAAAGTTAAAATTCAGCTGCAATAGTAACAACATACAGTAATTAATTATAAACCTTCATGAATACGAACTCAAACCTAGCAGAGTTCTTGCAATATTTCTCTTTAAAATGTGCTGCAGTATCCATGGGGAGGTTCAGTGGTGTGATGAAATTCTTATTTTATTGTATTTGCTGCAATTTTTCTTTTTCTATTCTTTACATTAAGATACTCACAGTAGTAACGTGACTGTTTTTCTTTTCTATTTTCTGACAGTAACAATGATGTTTACTCTACAAATCAGGGGCTGTACAGTGAAAACATTTAACCATCCCATGCTGCATTAGAATACTGTCACCATGGGATTATTTTCTAAAGTGTTCTGCCAAAGAACAATTCACTGCAGCTGTAGCTGGGATATTGCTATTCTACAGTTCTTCTATAAAACATCATTATCCTGCCAGATTCAGAAGTGGTTAGGAAGTTATGAGAGCATATATTTTAGCCTCTGTAGTTTTATGCTACACAGGTGAGGTGGGAATTTTGGGTGAAAGGCAATTCAGGAAGAAGTCTCTACTGGGGTTTTGCAGTTACTCAACATTTTGGTCTCATTACTAGAGCTGACTGAACATTGTTCGCTGACATCTCATCCCCCTGCCTCTCCCACCCCCACCTCCTGAAGGAAATACTGAAAACTAACTAAGTGAAAATGTTGCTTTGATCTATTTTGTTGAAAAGTCCCAAGAAAATTTTTGAATTAAGCAAAACATTTGTTTAGTTTGAAAATTTGTCATGGAAAGCTCCTACAGCTTTTTAGTCAGCCACGTGCATTGTTAAAGCACCAGCTCACGTTTGGAACAGATTCATAAACTCTATGGCCAGAAAGGACCCTACCTAGTCTGACCTGCTGCCACATAAAACTGGTCATAGGACTTCCCTGAATGAATTCCTGTTTGAACTAGACTGTATGTTTTAGAGCAGGGGTTCTCGAACTGCGGGTTGGGATCCCTCAGGGGGTCACGCGTTTATTACATGGGGGGTCGCGAGCTGTCAGCTTCCACCTCAAGCCCCACTTTGCCTCCTGCATTTATAATGGTGTTAAATACATTAAAAAGTGTTTTTAATTTATAAGGGGGGGGTTGCACTCAGAGGCTTGCTATGTGAAAGGGGTCAGCAGTACAAAAGTTTGAGAACCACTGTTTTAGAGCTACCCTGTCCTAGAAGAAATGTTGGGGGGCACACAGGGGGAGCACAGCTATGACTACCCCCCTTAATATGGTTAAGCCACTTCTCTGCAACCAACCTGAATTGGTTTAGCATTGTCACCATATCCATGCTTCTTCCCTGCTCCTCTAGACTGACTAGTATTGCAAAACAGGAGCTTACCTCCTGCCCTCTTCCTCCGCACACACCCATTTAAGGGCCAGCCACTGTCTGGCACATTAGTTGAATATACAATTAAAAGATTACTGGTTACAGAAGAAATTCTGTAGTCCAACCAGTTTGTCCTTTCTTGTAATTAAACGTGCTATTAAAAATAGATCAGACAAGAAACATAGGCTTTATATTTAAATAAACTGAATATTTAGGAAAAAGGCAAGTAAAGAAGGATGAATGATGGATTCCTCCCTTCCCCCCCGAGATACTGTTCATAACTATAAAGATTGAGCCACGCATGAGTGTCATACATGTATCTTTCCTTCGAATAATTGTGAAAAATTATGGAGCAATACTCATTTCTGAGCAAGTCAAATGGCAGATGGATTTTATGTCATATTATGCATCTAGGAAATTAAACTTTCAATAGCCATAGTCAATTTATTAAGTCCTAGATACCCAAAAGTGAAGTCTTTAGGTTGGGGTTACTAATATTACACTATAAGGCTTCAAAGAATCAGGGGTGTTCCTTGATGTGTTAAGATTTTCTTAATCAGATTTGTAGATTAAGAAAGAGTCCAAATAAGAGAGCCATAGTACCAGGGAGACCTAGCCCTGTGTAAAAGGGTTTATGTTTAACATTTGTTCATTTATTTCTGCTGACTGCTAATGTTGCTGGGAGAGCTTGAAACAGAAAACTATTCATTCATTCAGTCAACAATGCTTTAATGTGTCCTTTCTCCCTGAAGGAGGAAAGCGTTGCCTACAGAAGTCATTTTATTGAGAAAACTGTATCTGAACAATTACATGACCAAAGTGGATGAGAAAATTTTGTCTAGAACATCTCTACTAACAGACTCTGACAACAATTATATTCACTCCTTGCATTCAAAACCCTTACAAACAGAACTGCTAACTTTCTGATAGTATTAGATCTCATAGTAGAGACATCCTCCCTACATTTTTGGGGTTGGGGGCAGGGTATAGAAAGGAAAGAAGGAGAGTACCAAAAGATACAGAATACAGTGGTTCTCAAACTTTTGTATTGGTGACCCCTTTCACATAG